CGGGAGGGCGGGAGGAAGCGGGGCGGCGGCGGTCGAGCCCGCGGCGAGGGCCGGGAAGGGCTTAGGTCGGCCGCCTGGCAGGGCTCGGCCTGGGGCCAGACGCTGCACGCTGTGACCCTGTTTGGTCCTCTGTCAAATGGAGGCGCAGTCTTGAAATTGAAGGTGATTAAGGCCCATCCCACACTGACAAATTGTTCTACGTTTGAGAAAATAAACGGTAGTAAGGATCTCAGATGAGATCATCCTGGATTATAGTAGGCCCGAAATCCAGTGACGAGAATCCTTAGAAGAGAAGGGAGAAAGACAGAGAAAAAAAGCCATGTGACAATGGAGGGAGAGATTGGAGTTATGCAGCCCCAAGCCAAGAAGTGTCTGGAGCCATCAGAAGCTGGAAGGGACTAGGAAGGATTGTACCACAGAGCCTTAGAGGGAATGTGGGCCAGCTGATACCTTGATTTCATACTTCCTGGCCTCCAAAACTTTGAGAATATAAATTTCTGCTTTCTAAGCCTGCCCCCCAAGAAAGAAACGGTGGAGGTTCAGGGAGGAGGTGTGTTTCTGGATAAGGCCTCATGTGGGTTTTGTTTTGGTTTTGGTTTTTTTTTTTGAGTTAACTAAACACAAAGATGCCAAGAAGGTGATCTCTGGAGACCCTTCTAGTTCTGGGACATCATGTTAGTACCTAAGCTTCTTGAGTCCTGGCTACTGATAATTTTTGTTTTTTCTCCTCAGATTTAATTGTTCAAGCTAAGTCTGGCACTGGGAAAACCTGTGTATTCTCCACCATTGCTTTGGACTCTCTTGTTCTTGAAAACTTAAGTACCCAGGTAAGTTGAGCTCAGAGGACCCAAAGGAGGGTTTGCTATGTGGATTTTACTATAGGTAGAAGAAATACCAGTAGAGGTAGAAGTGAATTTGGTGAATGATTGAGTTAAGACATGTAAAAAGTATAAAAGTAAAGTAGACCTTAAGGCTATTGAGTGGTGGTGGTGTGGATGGTGACCAAATATACATTATTAGTGTTAGAAGTTTGGAAATTTCTATTATTACTGCATGTTAAATAAGCCTGCCGTGTGTGTCAATTTTATCATTACTGGAAAATACAGATAGGAATTCTTTATTCTTTTATTTGCTCACTAGATTGTGGTGAGGTCATTCATGGTAATGAGGTGCTTTGGCTATTGCTGGTAACTGCAGGTGGTTCTTACAGTGAATGTATCATATTGATCTCCATCTTCTAGGTTCTCTTAGAGTAGGTCTAAGATGTCCTTATCCCAAATTAACAGTTGATTTGGGTTTGGGGATCATTTCTTCAACAAAGACTTGCTGAGCTCATGGTATGTATGAACAGTATGCTAGGCATCGGGAATACAAAGATGAATCAGATATGATCCTCATAGTACTGCTGTGTGGTTTAATAGTTACAGCAGACTGTATTTCAAGTTCTCAGTCATGTGTATCTGGGGGTATGTCAAATGTTTTTTAACGCAGATACCCATATTTGTGATCTGTAAAGCTCTTTGAGTCCTACCTTAGATTTACCAAATCCTGAGTGATGTTGCACCTAGAAAATCCTTCTGTTTCCCAAGAACCTGGGCTATTCTTGTGAACTGAGATAAATGTATTTAAGATTTTGGCTTCTGACAGTTTGGCAGCAGGTCAGATGCCAAAACTCTGAATAAATTCCATAAATGAAATTTATTTTTAATTTAAGATCTTTGTGTTATCAAAATCATGCATATTCATTTTTGAAAATTGGGAAAATTCCGAAAAATAAAGAAGTACCAGAAGACAAAATATAATCTCACCTACTCAGAGAGAAAATGCCATTAACAGTTCAGCATATTTTGTCTTAGACTTCTTAAGCAGTTTTTTCCCCCCTCGTAGTTGAGAACATGCTATTTTACCTTCTCCTCCGGTAGTTATATTGCACACTTCTCACTATGACTCTCAAGGCCTTCCATGACCTAGCCTCTGGAGCTAGATCTCTGACCCTAACTTGGACCAACCATGGGCCTCCTTGCCGTTCCTGAAAAACACCAAAAACACTACCATGTTAAGGCCTTTGCATTTGCTGTTTCCTTTTCCTGAAGACAATTCCCTGGGTTTCACATAGCTAGCTCAGCTCTGTGGTGCTCAGATGTTATCTCTTTAGAGGGGTCTTCTTGATTGTACCATTTAGAATAATGTCTTCCCTTCCTTTGTCCCTTCTTTCTCTTTTCCCTATTTGATTTTTTCTTCAGAGCGCTCTCCATTACCTGCCATTATTTGTACATTTGTTTATTGTATATCCTCTTATCATCCAAGAATGAAAGTACCATGAGAATAAGGTCTTTGTATTAACTGCTGTCTATATATCAGCTTGTATGTGGCCTGGCACATAGTGGGTTCTTAATGTTTGTCAAATGAATACATAAATGAATGAATTTAAAATGATCATTTAAATGAAAAATAGTTCATTGTATAATGAATGTTCCAATCACATGTGTTTATTCTACTGACTTGTTAAAGGTATATTTTTATGTTTTTTTGTTTTTTGTTTTTTGTTTTTTTTAGATTTTGATCTTGGCTCCTACAAGAGAAATTGCTGTGCAGATACATTCTGTTATCACAGCCATTGGAATAAAAATGGAAGGCTTAGAGTGTCATGTGTTTATTGGAGGGACTCCATTATCACAAGACAAAACCAGACTTAAAAAGTGTCATATTGCCGTTGGTTCTCCTGGTAAGATATCAGTATCTATTCATAACTGGGGCTTTAAAGGAGCTGAACACATTTAGTATAACAATAACAGTATGAGAATCTTTAATAACTATGGTAATTATTTTGAGGATTAAAAATGAAGAACATTAGATTAGTGAGATATAAACACAGGATTGGATTACCAGCACAAATCTCCATTCCTAAGGATGTTTAAGGTCAAGTATGGAATAGGCTTCTGAAAAGAAGAGGAGTGAGATGACTTTTAGGAAGCCCTTCTAAGCCGTGGAGTGGGATGATTCTTGGTTTCCATATTAGTCCTTCAGTCAGGAATCACTCAGAATCAGTCTAGCATTCAGTGCCTTAGCAGTGAAGTCTTTTTACAGGAATAGTGTTTATTTTCCATACTTGTTGGTGATGAAATGTGAGAGAAAAATAAAGACTTAGGCAAGATCAGAACTCAGGATTTCTAATTTGTGATTTATGTGTACATGTCGAATAATGAGGGTTGGGTCAGGAAAGTCAGCAGTTCAGCCTGTAAGTAGAGTAACAACATTGGCTGAAATTAGCACAAATTTGGTACATCATGAATATTTCTATATGTTCTCTTCTGGAATTTAGGCAGAATTAAACAACTGATAGAGCTTGACTACTTGAACCCAGGCAGTGTACGTCTCTTTATTCTTGATGAAGCGGATAAGCTTTTAGAAGAAGGCAGCTTCCAGGAGCAAATAAAGTAAGAAAAATAACTAACTTGACTATTAAAGTGGTGTCCCACAGTATCTGTCTTTGGCTTTTCTAGGTGGTGATTACTGTCTGCATAGTTTCTATGATTGTGTTTTTCTTCTGTTTTGCAGTTGGATTTATTCTTCCTTACCTGCCAATAAACAGATGTTGGCGGTATCAGCTACTTACCCTGAATTTTTGGCTAATGCTTTGACCAAGTACATGAGAGAGCCCACTTTCGTAAGACTGAATTCCAGTGATCCAAGTCTCATAGGTGAGTATAGATTTTCGATGCTTACTGGGTTTGTTTGTGACATTCTGGAGCTTTCCTTTGCTTAGTTGGCTGTTGCTTTCCTATTTGCTACTGTGATATAGCAAATGTATTTGTTTTAACAGAAGACTCTTCTTTATAGGTTTGAAGCAGTTTTACAAACTTGTCAACTCATACCCTTTGGCCCATAAGACTTTTGAGGAAAAGACTCAGCATTTACAGGAACTGTTCAGCAAAATTCCATTTAATCAAGCCTTAGTCTTTTCTAATCTACACAGCAGGTAATGTGCCTTGAAAGGTCATCTGGTCATCTTGTGAAATGGAAGGATAGGTGTGGGCCAATATTTGTAAAAATTATAACCCTTTGTGTTATTTTTCATAGAGCACAACATTTGGCTGATATCCTTTCTTCTAAAGGCTTTCCTGCCGAGTGCATTTCAGGTAAGTTCATCTCTTACTTTAATCTTTGTTAAGTGTCCCGACTTGAAGCTTTCCCAAAGTCAGGAGGAAGAGATACCACTTCATGAGTTGTCTCGTGAATGTGAGGTTACACTTGAGTCTCCAGAGTAAAGGGAATTTCAGATTTATTTTTCGCTGGAATTTGAAGTATCAGTATCTTTGTTTTTTAAGAAGTAACATGATATATAATAAAAAAAAATAGAAAGCTGGAGTTATATCCACAAAGAACTTAATTTTATAAAACAAAGTCTATCTTTGTTGTCTGGAAAATATTTTGTTTCTTTATATAGTCATTTAAAAACGCTAAGACTTGCTGACTGAATTGACTTTTATTGTCTTATGGAAGGCAAAACTGGCTCATTTTTGACACAAAGCTAAATTATTACTGCTGGCCTAATAAGAATGAACGATTTAAAACAATTTTTGATCAGTGAGATCCTTTTTAGAGCTTGGTTGATAGCTTAGCTTAGTTTTTAACCTGTTAACATAAGTCTGCTTAGTCATGGTGTATCATGAGACATGAGATAATGAGATATGGACCAGTATTTTACCTGTAGATCACACTTTACCACTAAATTGGTAAACGGCTGATTAAAGCAGTTTTATTTTCCTAAGAATTGTTATATCTGATATGTAACTGTTATATCTGCAGGCATAGCCTAGTCACCATTTAAAGTAAGCGGCCTAAATAATTTCAAGTTGATTGCCTAACCATGTTCTAGAAGATTCTGACTTTAGGTCTTAACCTAGATTTGCATATAAGGACAGAATTAATTTTGGTGGTTATATTTTTAAAGTGTTAGGACTGGAAATTATGATTTCTGCTTTTTGTGGAGCTGATAAATGTATAATAGCTTATTTTTATGTGACTTTATTTTTGGGTCTTTTTAGGCAACATGAATCAGAATCAGCGTCTTGATGCTATGGCTAAACTGAAGCAGTTTCATTGCAGAGTCCTCATTTCTACAGATTTGGTAAATTTCCTGTTCAGTTTGGGTGACTAATCTATCTGGACATATGTTCTGTTATCAAGTGTACAGATTTCATCTATTATTTTAGGTGGGTGTATCTTACAAGAATACCAGAAGATAATCGTCTTTCCAGTGCTAGGAAACATGCTTTCCTAAAAATGTCTTTTATATTTTTATCTTTATTCTTGAAATTAGTTAGTGATGAGAAAAGAATTTTCTTTTCCTTTGTTCCTAAATATCCTCCTGTTGGATTTGGTTCTCGGTTATACCAGAATAATGCAATGTGCACTGTTACCCATGCAATAGTTAATGCAAACAAAAAGTTGCTCTCTTCTTCAATTCAAGACTTCCCGTGGGATTGATGCTGAGAAGGTGAATCTGGTTGTAAACCTGGATGTACCACTGGACTGGGAGACATACATGCATCGGATTGGCAGAGCTGGCCGTTTTGGTAAAAAAAGAAAAGAAAAAGTTTGGGTACTTTCTCTACGGGGAAGAATCTATAATATGACAGTTGGATGTGAAGTATCTTTTATCTGAAAATGATTTACTACTTAACATTCCTTCTGTGCTTTAGGTACTTTGGGACTGACAGTGACCTACTGCTGCAGGGGAGAAGAAGAAAATACGATGATGAAAATTGCCCAGAAATGTAATATCAACCTTCTGCCTTTACCAGGTATATTTTGTCTGTTTAATTTTGCTGTCGAAATAATAATGGTAATGATTAGAGGCCTAATAAAAATAATGGCTAACATAAGAACTTACGATGTGTTGGGTGGTGTTCTAAGTACTCTATGTATATTAACTCTAATTCTCACCACAATGCTATGAAGTATGTGCTGTTAGTATCTGCATTTTGTAGATGAGGATATTGAGACACAGGGAAGTTAAGTAATTTGCCTAAGGTCTTACAGCTAATAAGTAGCAGGGAGAGGACTGCAAGCTAACTAATGACACATTAAAAATGAAAAGTATTTTCCTATTGTATTAACTCTGTATTTTACTTCGTAGCCTTACAATTTGATTTCATTTTATATCAAGGAATGTATTTTATCTCTTATGTTACTGTGAAGATAATTTTGCCATATTCTCCTTTGTCACCATGGGGAAGGAACAGTACCATTAATTTGAACACTATTCTGAAAATTTTGAAGTATTTTCTTTTGATTTTTTTTCACTACAGATTACTTTATTACCAGCCCTACACTTTTGATTTTAATGTATCATTCGTCAAGCTGCTTTTTTAAACTGTCATCTTGGAAACAATGCATGTTTAAAACTGTTAATGATCTCTTGAACATTTTTTTTAAAACCCTAAAAAACTCGTGTGAAAATACGGTTTTATTTGCTATACAGCTGACCCTCGAACAGTGTTGGGGGTCGGGGTGCCCAGCCTCCGCACAGGTGAAAATCCCTATGTAACTTACAGTCAGTCTTCCGTGTGCGTTCCCACGTCTGCTGATGCAACCAGCCGCAGGGTGTGCAGTTCTGTAGTACATACTGGGAAAAATCTGCATATAGGTGGACCTGCGCAGTTCAAACCTGAGTTGTCCAAGGGTCAATTATACATGTTAATGTATGCACGTTAGTATGTACATATATGTTGTATAGATACATAGATGTATACTTACGTAGTATATACATGACCTTCCAGAAGATGGTATATGTGGTTATTGAATAAATACAGCAATGAATATTTTATCCATTTATATTTAACTCCTTCAGTGGTTTCTACAAAGTTAGATTAAGCACAGATTTTGGAATGCTGTGGATTCTAGTAGTTATGGCTTTGTGACAGCTCATTTTATGATCTTTTTACAGATTTCTTTAATTGCTCTAAGCTTATGTCCTGAGCCTTACAAAGCATTGGTTTTTGGAGTAGATGGCCTTTAGGTGCTCTGTCAGTTATAAGATTGTATTACGTTATTTCTATGTATGTGTCTGTTGGTGATCTTTGTAATTATAAATATGGAAGAAATAAATTGAAAATTGGTACAAGAGGGTTAGGACTTGTGGTAGGATTCAGTATCATAGCATCTAGTGATAAAAATAAAATTGGCTTTTGGATACCAGAAAATGACATATTTGGATCTTTATGAAATGTTAACAGAGGCCTGAAAACATGAGAATGTGATATTCATAGTGTTAGGTCTCTGTTGCATGAGACACTTGTGTGACAACAGATTGTGGGGATGAGTTGCCTAGAGCAGGATTAGGAGGGAAGTAGGCCTGAATGATAGGTCTCAGCAGCCAAAAGATAGCACCTCCATAGGAATCTGAGTTTAGTCAGAGGGTCTGTTCAACGAAGGATGAGGAGCCCCAGCTGAAGAGGGATTTAGTAGTGGGAACACAGACATGGAATACCAACGGCAGCAACACACGGACAAGATCTTTGTAAAGCAGGGGCTCTGTGTCCTTGGTCTGCTTAAGGTGAAAACTGGGCATACTTTGGAAAGGTCTGAGTGTGCAGGTGGAAGCAAATTGTCACACCTGCATGGAACAGGACATTTAGAGAGTAGGAGCCCTCGATTTTTTTTTTTTTAATTTACAAGTGCCATTTGTACCTCAGATCTTTTCACAGCCATCTAGCTTTTTTCCCCTATAGAGGTTTTTTCTCCACTGTTGAGGGCAGTGATTTCTCCCTGTTAGAATATTTGGTGGCAGATTATTTGGATACAGAGTTACAGTTGTATTATTTCCCAGTTGGTAAGCTTTGGGGAGCACAGTCCATCTTCTAATGTCTTGTTTTGCTGTTGTCAGTGAAGCACAGAGGAGGAGTTAGGGAGAGGGAGGAGAGGAGAGGTGGGAGGACTGCTGCAGAGCCATCCCTCACTCCTAGAAATAAGCCCTTTTCAAGTGGGAGGTGGAAGGAGATGTTGCTTATGAGTCTGGGTTGGGTCTTGCATATTTTGGAGCAGGTTTCTTTTATGCAAGAATTACTTAGGTTTTTTAAAATACTAATATATTAAGCTTCTTAGTATGTTAATTAGTACAGTTTGTTTCTTAACTGTATCTGACCATGGAAGGCTTTATGAAGCCATTGAAAAAATGCTAGTTGAGAGCAGCTTGAGAATTTGATACTTTTTTATTCCTTTTATGTAGATCCTATTCCTCCTGGTCTGATGGAAGAATGTTTGGATTGGGATGTGGAGGTCGAAGCTGCCATGCATACATATGGCTTAGCAAGTATACCTCCCCAGCCCCTAAATCAACAAATTCAAAAAATAGAGAGAACCTTTGAAACTCAGAAAACTTATGGTAACCACATGGCTTCATCTAGAAATACTTCTGTGTCTGCACTATCAGTCAAATCAAAAAATAATACCAAACAAAAGCTTCCTGTGAAAAGCCACTCAGAGTGTGGAATTGTAGAGAAAGCAAAGTCGCCAAAAGAGCTGGGCTGTGCCATAAAATTGGAAGAGCAGATGAAGAATTCTGTTCAGATATCTGTTGAAAACTCGGCTAATAATCAGCACCAAGTCAAAGAAGCTTCTGTGTCACTCCCCACAATTCCTTGTCTGTCTTCCTTTAAAATCCGTCTGCCATGCCCTTTGACTTTTGCAGAATTGGTGGAGGATTATGAGTACTTTGTTAAAGAAGGGTTAGAGAAACCTGTGGAAATCATCAGACACTACACAGGCCCTGGGGATCAGACTGTGAATCCTCAGAATGGTTTCGTGAGAAACAGAATCACTGAAGAGAGAGCACAGATACTGGCAAGTAGTAGCCAATCTGGAGACTCTGAGAGCGACAGTGGTTCTTACAGCTCAAGGACTTCTTCCCAGAGCAAAGGAAATAAGTCACACGTGGAAGGCTCTTCTGATACTCAGCTGAAGGACTCGGAACCTCTTCCCGGGGATGGCCAGATCTTTTTGGAACAACCTCTGAATGAAGGTGACACCCCTAATCTAGCAGAGTATCAGGAATCGCCTGAAATCCAAATAAAGGCCAGGCATAAAGAGGGGGCTAACCACAACCAGAGAGTTAAGCAGAGCCGGAGAAACCTTCCCAAGCGGTCCTCCTATCGACTGCAGACAGAACCGCAGGAAGATGGCTGGTATGACTGCCGTGGGGAAGCACATCCGAGTTTCTCAGATACCTATCAGGACTATGAGGAGTACTGGAGAGCTTACTACAGGGCCTGGCAGGAATACTATGCTGCTGCTTCTCAGTCGTATTATTGGAATGCTCAGAGGCACCCAGGCTGGGTGGCAGCCTACCACATGAACACCATTTATCTACAGGAGATGATGCGCGGCAACCAGTGACAACAGGCCGTGCACAGAGCATCTGGAAACATCGACAGGTGGTGTCTTAGGGTAGCCATCCTCTTTGAGCTATGGTAGAGTGGCATTTAGAGGTATTTTTGAGGAACTGGGAAAATCTTGAAGCTTTCTGCTGCGACACATCTGTTTTTCAGATTGTTTTGACCTAAACCAATTTAGGTCAGGTGTCATCTTTTTTTAGAAGAAACTTCATGAAATAGATTCTTGAAAGAAAATTTTGGGGACATAGAGCTAAAGGTCCCAGGTGCCATTTTCTATAAGCCATTCCATAAAGAAACATTTAAAAAGACTTACACCGCTGCTTACTTTAAGAAGAATAAAAACAGTTGTGATTTGAAATAATGCTAGTTTATGCTGTGGAGTTCTTTCCAAAAGTCTTGGGCTGCATTTCCATAGAGTTGTGTTTTGAAGAAATTTGTAGCATGGTAGGTCAGAAAATCCCCTTTTAGGTTTCAGCAGGAAGGAATAAACATTACTTCAGATTTTCCCATAAGTACTTGATTTGATGCTATTTTCTTCCCAGTAAAAAGAATTCATTACCAGTAAAAATACAAGCTTAGTCAAATGTGTTGATATGTTTATTATTCACCTTTTGAATGTCTTGTTTTTAAGGTGGTGGAAGCTGTCTGCAGTTTTGACGTGCATTATAGAGCTGAGGACCACCAGTGGCTGTCTCATTTTCCTTTCTCAGGAAAAGGAGCAGCTCTTAATCTTTGCTGGTTTTTGAATTCTTTTATCCAAATAGATTTGTCCCAGAAAACTTCTCATTTTATAAACAAACGTACATGTAATTTCAAAGGCTTCATAGACCCTCTGAAGTCCATTTTTAGAACCCAGGTTAAGAGCTGCCCTGCTCTGCTGGTGGGCCAAGGGAGGTTCTAGCTCTGCATTTTAAGTATTTTGTGGAAGCTGGGACTCATTCTGTTCAAACTCAAGTGTTCTAATCTTGTGTCTCATAAATTGTTTTCCTAGTTTTACCTCTAATGCTAGCATCCAAGTGTAGCAGTCATTTTTCTGAGATAATGTGCCTATAAATTACGATTTAGAAAAATGGAAGTTACATATTGTCACGTCTTCTCTGTAGCAGTCATCTTACAATTATGCATTTGGTTCCCAAACCTGTCTGTGAACAGGATCTGTGGTGAGAGAACCCCTTATATAGAGAGAGAAGTATTTGCTTTTTAACAGGAAAGCTCTCCTTTCCTGTGTACATACTTGTCTAGGCAGTGTAAACATTTTCTCCCAAGGCTGTCAGCAAACATCCACAGCCATTGTCACAGTCCTAAACTGTTTAACTTGGATTCCTATCATCTGGGTTGGGCAATGATTGGCTTTACTTATATGTATCAGTACTGTACACATATTGCCACGTTAGAGTGAATTAATTAACACTGTAAATAGCAAATCCATAATTAGGTCCAGCCTGTCATTAAGAAGATGTAATTATACATTTAGATAAGATCCTGTCACTGCTATATAATTGAACTTACCTATTTTTTTTCTTTCTACCCTTTTCCCCACAATACTGCCATGTTCACAGTTTATCTGTCATTACTGGGGGATTTTAATTAGGATACTCCTGCACCTTAATTAGAAATGAGATTGCCCATAAGTCATTAGAAATTAATTGGATTCTCTCTTAGGTTTGTCTTATTTTATAGTTGCTTTTTTTTTTATTAAAAAAATAAGCTGGAGGTAAGCATATGTAAAACATGAGAATACTAATTATTACATTTTTCTATTAAGCATTTGCTAGGAAAATGTCAGCGTTTACCTTCCTAAATAAGGGATGCAGTTACGGTCTCTGTGGGAGGAATTTGCTGCAATTTTTGTGTTACTGTGTTTGTGTGGAAACAACTTTTTGTTTGGAATTGTCAGTCTAGGTGCATGTCCCCGTAATGTGTTAGGAACCATAGACAGGTTTTAGTCAATTCAGTTGAGAATGTTTTTGGTGTAGCGGAGTTTGTCCTGGTTGACTCTGCTACCATCTGCTTTTTTACTTTGTAGTGGTCATTTAACCTCTCAGGGTCGTTTTCTCATCAATAAAAGAAGGGAGTTGGACTAGAAGATTTTTAGGGTCCCTTCCAGTTGTAAGATATAACTAATATATGACTAATAAGAGAAATTAATTTCTAGTTAGAGAAGACAGTAATCTTTATATGTGTATAGAGAGCCTTTATACATTCACATAATTTGGTTGAGTGCTAATGTGAATTGGTTTTATGTCTGAATTCTAGAATACTAAGTCAATACACTATTAACAGCTGTTCAGGTTAGGCTTAAATGAACTTAAATTAGGCTAGCAATATTAACATTTAGAGAAATACTTGGGAAAACTGCTTTGGATAATTCTGACTTTCAGAATACAAATTTTTTTGGATAATTATTATTTTCTAAAGAAGCTCAAGTATTGCAATAATTGCTAACCTTTTAAAAACACATGGTTTAAAGGTAAACCAGCCCCTGAAGACTAAAAATAATTGAACAGAAATTATAGTACTTAGGGGTCAACTCATGAGACAAGGGAGTAGTTTGAAGTTTCAGGGGTTTTTTCTCCTAAATATAAACAAACCTATGTTAATCTTAAAAAATACGATTATATTTTTGATAGTCACGGCTGATGTTGGAAATCCATCAAGCTTATTCTACTGTTTTGGCGGAATATTTTTTATTGTTTTGTGTGTCTGCGGACAAGCACATATGTCCCAGTTAACATTTAGGTTTTTTTAGTGAAAAAGCATGTATTGACCGCCACACATCTGATTTTCCAGTTATTTTGCTCTGGAAGATTATTTGAGCTACGGATCTGTAGTGACACCTAGTGGGTGATAAGGATATGAGCATTAGTGATTGAAATGAATTTCACAGACAACCTTCTAGGGCCTTTGGGCATCATTTGCCTGAACATCGCATTTCTATTTCAGATTTCATTGATTGGGATCTGGTGGTTGTGGGGAAATGAAAAGAATTCCCATTGTTCTTGCCACATGGTGGAATGTGAAAATGCCTGTTTCTCTCACTACCTAAACCAGAATTATTAAAGTTAGAACAGATCTTCAAGATACATCTAATCCAATCCCCTCATTTCTGAGATGAGGAAAAAAGCTGAAGCCAAAGGAAGAGACTGATGTGAAGTCATACAACTGAGCAGTAGAACCTAAATGTGAGCCTCTGTCATCTAATTTCCAAGCTTCCTGCTCTACCACATATAGCACTTAATTTTGAGTTTTCAGTTCAAGACCTTGGTTTAGATGAAGGATAGTCATTGTATTCTCAGCAGAACCACTACTGATACATAAAAGTACATTTTCTTTCAATAATACAGGGCTGAGCCTCAAAATAGAGCTGTTGACAAATGCGACCAGATGTTGTCCCTGTCAGTGAACGTCCATGACTAACGTGTACAAGCTGGCAGGAACCGGCTTGCGTGTCCCAGAGGAGCTGCTCGCATTGGAGGAGGTGGGGGAAGGGAAGATTAGACTAGACCTTAAGCACCCTTCTGAGATTCTGTGACTTTTCTCTGGCAAGGTAGAGAGCCTCTGTTCAAATTACCCTTATTTTCTAGTGGGTAGCAGGAGAACTGGTATTAAAATAAACATTCGTAATCATTTTAGGATTTGTGGCACATAGTTCGTTTAATCCAGATTGGATACATCAGGTACAGCAGTGGCACATGACTCAATACTAGAAATGATATACATTGTAACATATGCACTACAGTTTCAAAAGAAGACAACAGGAAACGCAAAGAGTTTTTTTTTTCCATAGAAAGTTTTCACATATTTATCTTCCTGCAGTTTTGTACAGTATTTCTTCTTTGCCATTATGATGTTGGTAAGCAAAGCCCATTTATTATACGAAAATAGAAAAGAACACACGATGTTTTTCACGATAACATTAATGGGGGAGGGTGACCTCTAAGGAAAACATTACATTGGAATGTCTGATTATCAAAAATATACCATCCCTCCCACCACCCAGGTTTGTAAAATAGTCTATTGGTCCAAGGAGCCCCCCCCAGGACTTGGGTCAGTGCCCTACACTGGTCAGTGTGACATCACCCAGTGTAGTTAAGTAACCTGCTAAGATAAATGTCATTCCCACACTTGAGGAGAAAAACATAGAACATTCTGAATAGAAAACAAGACTCAAAAGGAACCCCTTTAAAGCTGTTTCTTTTTCTGATCCACTTTCTCTTAGTTCTAATGATGCTCTTCATGAGGCTGTTTGGGCTCCAAGGGTCACAGGTCATAACAATGTTTTCCCTTCAGTCACTTTAAAGCTTTGCAAATGCTGAGATTTCATAAGGAGATCAGAAAGGGAAATAAGTTTTTTGGGTTCCTGTTTGTCATGGTTACCATGCCAACTAGGTTAGAAAGGAAACTAATATTGCCTTAGAGTAACAGCATTAGGATCTTCCTGCCTTGTAGTTACCTGGTAATGGAAGTGATGGAGCCTGGACCACTAGAACTCATTAATAATCTAAACATCTACGTTTAGATCGATTTCAACCACTACCCTTGCAAAGTTAAGCAAAAATAAGGAAAAAAAATCTAGGTACATCTTTCAATGTACACTTTTCCTGCCTATATTCTAACAAGTAAGTGACATGAACTGCAGGAATTGTCGTTTGAAAACTGGGTAAGGTCCTCAGCATATCCATGGGTTGACACTTTCTGTTAATCATGGATCAGCGTTAACGATCCACTTTAATTTCGGTTCAAATTCTTTGTTTTTCTTAATTTCGCTTTTCTACTTGCTGACTGTGTACTCCTGTATGATTGCAGACTCACGTGCTGCACTATCACTGAGGATGTCTGGTCTTTTGAACAGGATTCTGTGTAGCTAGTCTTGAGCTTGACACCCGTCACGACAGGGGATGAAGGAGAAATAGTACAGCGTTTGCTTCTGGAGGTGCTCGTTCAGGGTGGTTCTGACTGTAATGCTTCCCCGCCCTAATCATCACTTTTGAAACCCGGGGATTAGAAATATAAGCAAGCCTCAGAGTAATGCAACATGACGTGGCGGAAAGCTCCCAGGACAGGATGTCTAAGCCCTGGGATGCAACCTTAGTTGTGCCACTAACTTGCCACGTGAACTCGGATGTCACTCAGCTTCTTCCTGCCTGCTTTCCTCTCTGTGAACCAAGGATTTAGTTACTTGACCTACTGCCACCAGAGGCTGTAGAAAGGATTAAAAGGACATAGAAGGTATGCTTGAGAATGTCGTCCTAGGCCTCTCTTCACTGAGATGAGAGCGCATTTGACGGAAAACCCTGACTGTTCATTTGTTAACCTATTTTTGACAAAATTGATGGTCCATAGCCGGTTCTATCTAGTGAGTGGCGGTTTTGTGTTAGTACAGTCGGGTAGTTCCCAAGGCTGTGTCCATTTACTGACATTTACACAAGGCTATGTCTCTAGTTACGGCACGTGTTCTCTGACGGGCCTTCTCTGAAGCACCGTCACTCTGAGAGACAGTGGGTATAGTGAAGAAGCATTACACCAACAGCCAAGGGACTTGGGTTCTGGTTCCAGCCCTGTCGTTAAATGACTGCATGACGTAGAGCAGGTCCCTTAATTTTTCTGGGCCTCAACTTTCTATACTGTAAAATGAATTAGATATTCTTCAGTCGCTTCTAGTTCTTAACTAGTTCTCTCTTAATTCCGTGTTTTCTAAGTTTCCATTCATTTGAATGTAGCTTATTGGTCTGTTTGTTTGTTTTTACCCTCCCTAGTGCTGAGTAGGATTGAGTGGAATAGGTGGTTTTGTAGATCTATTATGCTGAAGTGGTTCATGAACTATGAAAGCTCAGGAGTTATTTCACCAGAAATAACTGCCCCCTGAAAACCTGATAACATCCAGGTGCTTCAGTCACTGGCCAGTGAGTTAGACATGAAGCTGGTTCAGCACACTTTGGCCCTTTTGTTTGCTTACAAATGCCCTGTAACAGCGTAGTCTGGCTGTGTTCTGTGTGCCATTTTCTTGGGTTGACATCTTTTGGACCAGAGGTGAGCTGGGTCTCTTACCTTTGGCTAAGGCTACATTAAGGGATGGAGATGAAGGGAGAGTCTAAATGATATTTTAGGAACTGGCATGATACGGGATTTGGAAGTGAAATTGAAGGAATACAAAACATTTAGTTCATTAGGGTCAAAACCTGGGAAATTATTTGGGACGTAATTTTTAAAATTGCTTCATTAATTTTTGTGGGAACCACCATACACTCCCTTGGTGTATTGCCAAACAGATCCTGGGTTGGAGCAGTCATTATTCTAACCCTGTGATGACCTGTTCCTCAACACAGGCAGTTTCCATGTGTATGTAACTCTGATCCTATTTACGTATTTATCCTTTACCCCACTCAGCTCTTACGATGTAAACTTAGATACTGAGACATTCTAACTTTGTTCCATTACATATTCTTTCAAAAGAAAAATTCCTTTTCTAGTCCTTTGCCTGCCCTCTAAATGGAGTCCAGCCCAGGCCCAGTCCTCTGCCTTCCCTAATGAGATGTGTATACGATGTAAATGGGTTTGAGTACTTATTGTCAAATGTGTTTAGGTTGTTGTGTGTGTTTGTGTGTACACACTTATTCCTCTGTAGTTGTAAAGCTTTTCTACTTACTTACACTTACACTCAGAGGGCCAGAGCCACCCCATTCTCGGGTAAGGGGGAAATCCTTGAGGCCAGACCCAGAGAAAAGGGACTCAGTCCGTGGTCAATGAGGATAGCGTTAAGGTGGAAGGCTCCCTCTCCTTTTTCCTTCTGTTCACCGTCTGGTTAGGTACCACCTCATAACCCTTTGACTTTCTCCTTCTACAGGGTCAATAGAGCTGTGGTCATAAGGAAGCCCATTGAAGATGTTTTTAGGGTCCTGGCTAGTGAAACTCATCCATATGGCTGTGGTGGGCAGAAAAAATCTTGGCCTACAATTAAACAGCTAAACACTAGGCTGTTGAATGGATAAAGAGTTCTCAAGGAACTCCTGTATCTCAGAACCCAGGCAAGAGAGACTGCAACAGGGTCGTTGAGATTGGGGAGGGTGGAAAGGGCCTTGTCACTAACCCCAAGGCCCACCTGCTGTGTGTAAGCGGTGAAAATTGCCTGGATTCCAGAAACGCTATTCCCGGCCCCATCAGGCTGCAAGTCGCTTGCACAGAAATGTGTCCAGTTTCTCCAGAAATAATATGCACTTCCTCACTTGCAGGGAGGTGACCAGGCTTCTCCCATTTCAGTTATCTTCAGGCACATCTGGCCTGAAGTCTCTTCAGACCTCAAGGCATCTTTCAGGCCAGGTAAGAATCGTTTATAATCTCTTACTTGCTTTCACACTTCGGAGCATCCTTCTTGAGGCACACAGGCTTAATCTGCAGCCTCTGTGGGGTTGCCTCAGGTGTGAGATAAGTCAGCAGCTTGGTCCCCGTACCACTGCCTTCTCTGCAGGAAACTGCTCCTGGGGCCTCTTGGCAGAGCTCTGGATGGGTTTTATGGTGGGTCCTGCAAGAAGGGTACATAGCAAGGTGGCGCAGGGGCCGACTGCAGCTGCGAGCCCCGGTTCTTCTGTTCTCTCTTTGCCAGCACACACCAGCATTTATTGTGCATCTCTGGGGCTGGCTATTTCCTTTTTCAAGATCCCAATGTGATAACTCTGGTCATTCCCTTTCCTGCCCAGAAATGGAAACTTCCAACAGCAGTGGTTCCAACCATAAGGGAAGCATTTTGTTCTATAAGGTAGACTTTTCTCATCCCTAAACTCCTGTTTTTGCTTCATTCTTTCCTCTCCCACAACTGCAGTCACACAGATACAACTTCCAAGCATGGGTCTGCAGGTGCTTGGCAGTAGAGAAGGCTTTACTAGCACGTCTTAGGATCACTGGGGTCCATGTAGAGACAGACGGCTGGACATGGAGGAAAACAGCCAGGGGTGAAGCAGAGAGGTACAGAGACAAAGGAGACAGGGACAGACAGGGTAAGGGTTGCTGTGTGGTCACCTGGCAGCTCTGTGCAGGTCAGCTGGGCAGTGGGGCCCAGGCTCAGTTGACCTCACCTACCTGGGGGAATGGAGAGAGAACTCAGCAGTAACTGACTTCTTGGCCTAAAAGCTTTTGCTATAAAAGGAAAAAAACAAAACAAAAACAAAAACCTCACAGAACGCATTGTTTTGGTTCAAAGGTCTTGGGTCCGTGGAGAAAAACATTTCACAAAACTCCGTTGGTGTTTCTGTTTTCCACCTTTTCCCATGAATAAATATTATCCATTAAGAGCCTTGAAAAAGGTGCTTAAATCCACAGTGTTATATTTTCTTCCTGTTTTGATGTGACATCTCGGCCTCTGTGCTGCTCTTGGTCTTGTATTTTCCTCACTGGGGTCTCCATAAACAACTGTCATTTGGTCTGAGGCTTCCCCCTCTGGGCCCTGTCCTGGCACGCAGCTTCTACCCCCACCATCCCATCCCTACCCCACCCACCCTCCCTTCCTCTGGCCCCAGTGAGTTGCAGTATCACAGGGCTATGTCCACGCTAGCAGCAGTGAACCTCAGGTGCCCCTTTGCTGCCTCTTTTTCCTTCCAGGCACAAGTTTCAGTGCTAGGGGTGCAATGGGGTGGGCAGAAATAGTGGGGAAGGGGGAGGGAGTGGTCCCAGCGGCCACCCACCAACATGCCAGCCCCCTTCACTCCCACTACCCGCACTGGCCCCCTGTCCAGTGGTTTTACAAGGCAGAGACCTTGACAACATTGCTGGCTATGGAAGGAATGTTCGTGTTGGGGCCTGGGCTGGCAGGGGGTGGCCGACTTTCCCCTTCTGGGGTCAGCGCTGGCGGGGTGGGGATGCTGATGATGGCTGTGGTGATCTGGGATGTTTTGCAGTTTGGTCTCAGTCCGTCGTCTGCTTTCAAATTAAGGCTGGAACGACTGGGATAAAAAAAGAGTGAGTTGATGATGGTTCTTCTTGCTAGTATCCCAAAGCTTCCTTGACCCTCTACATTTCCAGCTCACAGTGACTAGGAGGAGGTCAGAGAGATCTAGACCGATATAGACAGAGAGCTCTGCTTTTGGTAATCAGTCTGTAATTACTCGTTCTGATTATTATTCCTAAACTACTTCAGACTGCACAAGTCACGTATATTGGGCTTTGGAATTCAGAGTACACGTGTCTTCCTCCAGTGGGTTATATTCCCGTCATTTGTGGCATTTGATTTTTCCCCTGAATTCCTTGCCACTCATTGGAGGTAGCAGGAAGTGGCTTAAATATTAGCAGAGAAAGGAGGGGAAAGTTAGTCTGTGATTCAAAATCAGCCTGGATAAGCCAGGTCTAATACAATTGTGAAAATTATTTCCTCGAGAAAGCATTCTTTGCACCAGAGTAGGATATTTTTGGATTTTTGTTGTTGTGTTATTTTTTCTGGTATCTAAGCCCACATTGGGCCTAAACCTGCTACAGTATCCTTCAAAGCATGGGAAGGGCCTTTGGGTTAACTTGCACGGATGAGAAGGAAGGTGGGGGGAGGATCTTCTGCATCCGACCAGGGGACGGGGCCGAGGGCCCTCAGGGTTCTCTCCTCGTGCTGAGCTTGCTTTACTCTGTGATTGGAGCCCCTCAAGCTTTAGGGAGTGACGGGGGTGGAGCCACCCACCTGGTAGTGAGGGAGGGCTGCTCACTGCCCTGGATGTGGATCGTGCTGAGCTCTTGCATGCTGCGCAGGCGGGTGGCCGGCAGGTTGGAATTGGGCAGGTGAGTGGTTTTCTTGCTACGACGGGAGCAGCAGGTAGTCGTGAGGCCCGGGTGGCTGGACAGTGAGGGACTCCTGGTGGATGGGTAGTTCTGCATCGAGCTCTCCATGCAGTTCTGCTCAAACATCTGCTCGTCTATAAACTCGTGGTTCTGTGGGAAGGAGAAGGAGGAGAAGTAGAGGGAGGCAGGAAGGAGAGGATGGGCCCCGTCCTCTGGATGGCTGCCTGTCTGTGTTCTGGGCCTGGGGAAGAGGGCTCCCAGCTGCCTGGAGCACAGATAGGCATTCAGGACGGGGGAAGTCCTACAGGCATCAAAGGAAGGAAGAAGAAGATTCCTATTGGCAGCCCTGGTCATCAGACTGCAGGGCAGAGACTGCGGTTGTGAAATCACGATGGGACATACACTTCACCGACAGCTTTGGGCTGAAGGCACACTGAGGACATGGGGGGTGGGGGCTTAGTGGCATCATTAGAGCCAGAAGCAAAGACCTGACTGACTTTGTAGCTTCGACAGGATCTCCAGGGGGTGGCAGGTAAGGACTCACTGACTCCCTAGGAGTCACTACTCCTATGGCTAGTGGGTACGCTAGGTTGTCTTTTCTGGATTTGATGGGTGAGATCCTTATGAATCCTGGGTAAGTATGAGACGTAAGCTTTTAAAGGCACTCGATTATTCACAGAATTGGGAGAGCTTTGCTCTTGAAAGCCAATGGGGTCAAACTGTCAGGGTTATGATTTCTTTAAATTATTGGCTTTTTCCACCTGGTTATGGGGTATGGATCCTTAATATAGCTAAGGGCATAGGATTCCCTAAGTCAAGTGTAAGCATGGGAAGGGAATGCTAACAGACTCCTGGCTGGGGATGCTCAGGGTGGGGTGGAGTGGAACCCAGGATGACTAAAAAAATGGCTGTTCAGCCAAGGTGACCAAAAAACCCATGGCATGAATGGTCTGGCCAAGGCTGCCAGAGTGAGGAGAATCTGAAGAGACGTAGCATAAGAGCAGAGTTCAGAGAGAGAGCGACCAGCCCTGACAGCCCATACCAGGAGTCCCCATGGAGCTGGGGAGGTGGCACAGAGACGTGGCCCACGGACACTCACAGGACACCAGCATTGGTGCCATGTTCTACC